GATTATTTTTAATTGAGGTTGATTCTGCAATGTTGCACTTTTGCCGGATTACGATTCTCGCAAGAAGTGGGAGTGACCAATGTTGGCCCAGGAGAAGCAATCACTGGTGGTGAGGTAATACGAGATGGACGACAGATAAGCTTCGATGTGATTGCAAACGCACGGAAAGTAGTCGATGCCAATACACATGTGTAAGTTTAACAGCCTTAGGATGGCTCAGTAACGCGGAAAAATGATGAGAGATGAAAAAAGAGAGTTGATAGAAGAGGAAGTAACTTTTTAATACCATGAAAGCTGCTGTTTTGAAAAGTATGCCTCATATGAATAAATGACTATTCAAAGACATGAATTTTCTCGTGAGTAAAAGGAATTCGACGCACAACAAAAGCCCCTCCGTATCGTAGGCGGATTCAGTAGGAGGGGGAGATGGTCCTATCCTCCAACGCACAAGCACTAATGTTGCAGAAGTCCGGGTTTAAAGTTAAAACTAAGGTAAACTAAAGCCTAAAGTAACTTTAAGTAGCACTGTTAAAACTCTATCCCTAGTTGTTGTATGGTTCTAGAGTGGGAGAAGACTCTCCTCCTCATTTCGGTCACCCCAGAAGTCCGTCCTGGATCCGCCTATGCCCCGTATTCACTTTATGAGAGGCGAAGGTACTCGGGAAGCAGTCCAATAGTAGCAAGTAATAACAGCAACCACCGCTGGCACGCTTGTCGTTGGCTTCTTTTTTCGAAGTTATATCGGCACACAAGTGCTTGAAGTGCAAAAAAAAAATTCTCCAAGAAAGGGGTTCTGTTATATTCGTTACCATGTTACCATGCATGGAATGTCCGATCCGCGTATCTGTTCCTGATCAATGAATTTTTCTGAAAAAAGCAAAAATGAAATATTGCAGAGTGTCGTACGAGGTAACGGTGCGACGAATGAACTGCCTGCCAGATCCACCGGAACCAGTTGTCGAATGTTAGTTTTCTTCAGTATTCCAAAAAATCTTTTGTTTTATGATAGTTATCCGCAGAAATGCATGCTTCGCTTGCCTCTGCATTCCTTTCCCCATTCATTCTATCCTGATCTTCAATCTAATCTATTTCCTTTACAACTGGAAGCGGAAAATTTACCCCAAAAATTTTTTTTTGCTGATAAGAATTCTGCAAAAGAATCAGTTCTTGACAACTTGCACAGTAGTGATTCGCAAAATGCTGCAGTCGAGAAAGATGTTGGTGACGAAGTTATGAAAGTGCTGACGAAGGCTACTGATCGCGCAGCGATGCAGAAAGAAAAAGCGCAAAAAAAGGAAAATCTTGATGGCACACATGGCGATAAGGCATTTGGCGCACCAATACAAAAGACAGACGAGCGAAAACAACGAAAGTATGCCTTTCTTCTTTCCCACAAAAAACAACACATTGGGACCGTCCTGAAATCCTGAGTGCCGAGGTTTCGAGGTAATTGTGCAATTGCGCCAGGTTTTCTTTTGTTCTTGATTAATTAGCTTGATTAGCTTCCGTTTATGGAGTCTTCCTCCAGTTACGAAACCGGCAACTTTTCCAGTTACTCTGACCAATGCTGTATCACAGCACTTTTTCAAGACTAGCCGTTTTGGAGATGTCCATCCTCAAATCAAACGTTGCCATTCCGAAATCACGATGATACCCTGCCGACTAAAAATTCTTGCCCGCCGTGCCATCAAGTACCCTCCTGGAAATTCGTATTTGATTTTTGCGTCCTTACATTATCATTGAAAAAAAAAAAACTCCTTTTTAGGAAATCGGGGAACGAAGATTCGTCTAGCTTCGGCTCTGGAGTGGGCCAAATCCCGCAGCAAATAACCCCACCGCCCGATACCTCGACATTTGCAATCCCAAGCGGAGTACC